GCCCCATCCCGTCAAAATATGACGCAAGGGGGGTACCTGATGCGTCAAAATTGGACGCAAAGGGACCTTTGAAAAATGTCAATATGTGACGACTCGGGAGTGAGAATGGGTTGGTCCAGAAGACCTATACAATTTTTTTCTTTTTGATTTTTACCTGGATTACTGAGATGCATCAGGATATGTTTTATATACTGTAATATTATTGTTTCCTTTATCTGATATATTTTATACTGATTGCACCTTTACAACGATCCATATAGTCTGTCAATCCTGTTCAATGGCAATGTCAATAAATTGATTCTGATTCTGCCGTGTTAACACTGAGAACTGCTCTGCCCCCTACAGGAACATCCAGGTAACAACAGGCGGCAAACAACAAAGACATTAAACAGGAGTTAAAAAGCAAATACTTCGTATCTGAAAGTGATGTTTACATGTTGGTAAATGAGTTACTTCGAGTGGCGTGTCACATGAAACGCTTAAACTGGTCAGTCAGACTAAAAGAGCGAGTTATAAGTACAGCGTACAAATCGTGCAGATGTTTAAAAAGCGTAGAAAAGTGCGTGATTAAACACGTGAGTTCAGCTCTTCTTCTCAATCACCGCAGGCCTGAAGCGCACCCCGCAAAAAGCGCTGACTCTAACTTCAGTTATTGTTGAGGAGACACTAACACTGTTGTTTGACTCGTTGTTTTTTAGCAGAATCAGCGAGAAATAAACCGTGTTTTCGTGAGAAACGGTATGAACCGAGCCGTGGTTGTTTTTCAGACTTCAGCCGACAGAAACGCATCATGTGAGGCAGAGTTTGGTTAGGGGGTCGTTCTTACTGTGGGGGCTCCTCGACGTCTTGTCTGACCCGCTCCGTTCTTGTTTCCAGCATAATAATCACCCAGTTATCCGGCAAAACGACACCGAGCAGAGAGCAAAGCGTTTTCATGGTAAGAGTCGAGGCTGAACGCGTCAACGCATCGGTGGTTGATCGTAGCTACCCCAGCTGTGCAGAGACCGGAAGTAGCTGCTGGTGGAAAGAAGCAAACCTAAACCCTTTGAAAATGGTTTCTCAAATGTTTTTCGGCCACAATACTTCGATTAGTACGGAAGCATAGAGCTGCCACATGACATGAAATTATTTTGAAACTGGATCTGGTTATAACGAGAAAATTATCTCGTTATAATGAGAAAACTATCGTTATAACGAGAAAACCATCTAGTTATACTGAGAAAACTATCGTTATAACGAGAAAACTATCT